TGGAAAGAGAATGAATTCAAGAGAAAATAATTGTCTAAAACTTGTTTTCCAAGGAATTGTTAATTAAGTGTGTTTGATTGGTATAATTTTTCACCCGAAAAATTTTAAAATTTTGGATCTTTTTGTGTTCGTTTGACTTTATTTTACATGAAAATTGTCCATTAAAGTGATAATATTTTCCACAATTGATTATAAAATTTGTTTCCATTGGTAAAAAGTAAAAAAAAAAAAGAAAAAAATAAAATTTCTTAAAAAATAATTTGTTTATCAAAGTTTAGTATTCGTTTGATTTTGTGTTTACATGGAAATTGTCCATTAAAATGAAATTTTTTTTTTACAATTGATTATGAAATTTGTTTCTATTGTAAAAAAAAAGGTCAGAATTCGATTTTCCCACCTAAAATCATTCCCTCCACACCTAGAAAATGGCGCGTGGAGGAAAAACTTTTTCCACAATTGGATGGAAAAAGTTTGGACATCAAACAACACCAAATATGGAAAATGAAATTTGAATTCCATTTTCCATGGAAAACACATCCTAACAATCATATTTCTCATTAATGTGAGGGAAAATGGGGGTCAAACGGGCTCTAAGTATAAAGTACAGTGGTTATGGTAAATAAAATTCAATTTGAGTAGTCATGATGACACAAAATATAAAGTACATTGGCCATGACACTAAATATATTATCCTTGAGTTCCAAAATGCAAAATGCACTTCCCAATTCTGTTCTCAAACGGTAATTATATTAATATCACAATTTCTGTTAACTATCACTTTTTTTTTAATTATAATCGAGGTTTTCGATATTTGCACTTGCGACTTTTTTCATTGCATTAGCACATTTTATCTCTGGACTCTGATATTTTTTCTTTCCAAATATTCTTTTAGTGTGAGAAAATTATTTTGTTGAACTTTTTTTATTTGTTATCTTACTTATTTAAAAAAGGTGAAGGGTAAATCGTCATTTATTTTCTCGTGACGGCTTTTTTGGCCTTCATTAGAGATAAAATGTGCTAACTAATAAAGGATCTGAGGATAAAAAACGTCGAAAAAAGTTGGGGGACACAAGTATAAAAATGAGATAAAGTTAATGGTCTTGGTTAATAAAACATATAGCAATTAACAAAAAGTTCGTTGTCAGAGTGCTATAATATTAATTTACTCTTGCCAAAATATTGATTGTTTTTTTTAAATAATGCTACTTGTACGTAATGAAATTATATAATATTTTACATGCAGATGGGATGTAAAAAAAGAGTGGAGCTTTTTTTATTTAATTGAAGGAATTCTGAATTAATTATATCTCATCACATTATGTATACATTGGTGGATGGGTGGTGTTTTTTTTTTTTCTTGGATAAAGTCCTATTTGGTGTAAATAGAAATTTAAATTTTAATATAAATCAAACTTAACAATTAATTTTAATAATATATTTCATGGAATCCACGATTCTTCAACTTTTACCAAAATCAACTAAAAATCTTATTTTAATCCCCTCCTAACAAGGGTAAAATCACAATAGATTTAAATTTTTTCTACTTTCTCTTATTCTCTTGCGACTATCTTCCTCACGCTTTTTACCAAAATCTTAACACTTCTAATTTTTAAAAATTTATCCATAATTTCTATATAAATTATCAAATCTACTACAAATCTTCACTTCCCAATCAAATTTTCAACTAATTAGAACTTAAATTTGCATTTTTCTTATCAAATTGTGTGTATATAATGTGTTTGAAATGATTATATTTAACGAATTGTGTTTGTTTGATTGATTATTAGTATTGAATATCGGTTATATATTTTTCCTTTCGATTATTTGAATTGATTGTTTTAATGGATAGTTTGTATTAAATACACTATAAATTCTCTAAAAGTAAATATATATATTGTGATAAGCAAAATATTAATAAAATAACTTTTCGAAATCAAATGTATGAAAATGATGAGCAAAATATTAATAAAAAAATATTTTTCAAACGTAAATCTGCTTTTTCTCGAATCAAGTACAAATCATTAAAAAATAAAGAACAAAGTTTTCGATCTATATAGAGTTTGATTGTGCCAAATAATTCAAAATTTACGCATCCGCTAGTGTATGTACTATGTATATGTAAATCATTATATACCTATAGCACAATCGTTTTTCCTTACACCAGCTTCACAGCTTACAACCACCTCTTCCATCGCCACTGCGGGATGGGGTGGGGGGGAGGGAGGCGGTGGTGTGGTTGCAATGTTCTTTAACATATGGCCTTGATTGTAAGTTGTTTTCATTAGTGATTTAGTTCAAATTCTCTCTTAACAAAATTTTATTAAGGAGATAGTGGTGCGTGTGAAGGAAAAATATAAAAAGTAACATGTGCTATTTGTCTTTAAAATTATAATTTTTTTATAATTTAAAGTTCAAATCAAAATTTTCTTGTGCAATAAAGCAATATTTATATTAATTAATTGCCCTTTCCTTGCAAATCTCTTCCAATAAATCGGCTTTTGACTTGTGATTCAATCTCACCTTAATTGTTTGCATTAGAAACTTCTTAAGTTCCACTTTTACTAGTCATGATAGTGCATTCGGAATGTTGAATCGAAAATATTAACTAATAAATTATGTCAATTTTCGTTTATCTATATCTAATCGAACATACTAGGTATGTTTGACAAAAATTGTGTCCCTGTTGGGTTTAATAAAAATTGAATTTTTAGTAGATTTTAATAAAAGATAATGAAATTTAAAGTTGAAAATTTGATTTAAAAAAAAATTGTAAATTTTACATGATTGAAAATAAATTTAAGGAAAAAATTAAGTTTCGGCAACGGCATAATCTTCTTGTTACCTATTTAATCAAGTAGATTAGTAAAAAAACTAAAGAAAAATTAAACCTATAGATAGAAGTTTGAAAGGCAGGGAAGACAACAAAATAGCGATACCCTTTATCAAAAGATAATGGATAGTTAGCACATAATGTAGTTATCTCATTATTATTGTGAAAAACTTCATAACTTTCATTTTTTTATTTTTGACATTTTTACCCATATTTTCATATTTCATTATGCAAAAGTTATTTTCATCAATTTTTTCAATTAAAAACTGTGAAATGATGAATATATTCTTCTATTTAAATAAATATATATATATAAAAGAACTAGTTGCTATAGTAGTCTCAATTTTTCTTTTTTAAAAAGAGTAGACGAGTCCAAAATAAAATTTTGAAAGAGTAATTCACACATAATGTCCCTACATTTTACTATTATTGTGAAAACATCTATATCTTTCATTTTTTTTTTTACATTTTCACCATTAATTACACATATGATTACGAAAAATCATAATTTCTATTCATTTTCACCAAATTTCTCAATAAAAAGCTGTAAAATGACGAATACCCTTCTATTTAAATTAAAAAATAAGAACTAATTGCAACTATAGTTTCAATTTTTTCTTAAAAATTACAAATGAATCTCAAATAAATTATTAAAAAAATAAAAATAAATTTTTTAATTAAAAAAGTGTAAAAGAATCCCAAATAAATTATAAAAAATTAAAATAAAAAAAGTGCAAACGAGTCCTGAATAAATTATTAAAAATTAGAAATCGATTTTTTTAAAAACAAAAGTGCAAACGAGTCCCAAATAAATTATTTAAAAAAATTATTTTTATTTTTTATTTAAATAGGATTATATATTCGTTATTTCACAACTTTTTATCGAAAAATTGGATGAAATTGTTAGAAATGATAGTTCGCGCAATTAAATATGTAATTAAGGATGAAAATGATAAAAAAGAAAGGTATTGACCTTTTTTACAATAATAGTGAAATGTAGGGACATCATGTGCAAATTATCATTTAAATAATTTATTTGGGACTCGTTTGCACTTTTTAAAAAACTTTGGGACTATGATTGCAATGATTTATTTCTTTTTCTTTTTGTTTTATTTAAAAGGAAAGATATATTCGTCATTTCACGATTTTTAATTGAGAAAATGAATAAAAATAATATTTTACGCAATGAAAGGAAAAACATAAAGGTAAAAATGTCAAGAAATGAGAAGTAAACATGTTTTTCACAATAATAATAATAATAATAATAATAATAATAATAATAATAAATACGTGCTAATTATCCAAAGATGATCTTTAACATTTTCAAAATAGAAATACAAACAGAAATCACATTATTGTATTGAAAATCTACCTACGGCTGAACAAATCTATCATTCTATGAAATCTATCTAGTTTCACGTCTCTCTCTCTCTCTCTCTCTCTCTCTCTCACTAACCATGACGGCGACCCAACTCTTTCGTCACTTTATCTTCTTCTAGCAATCAATCAATGGCGGCAGCTTCTCTATTTCACATTCCAATGCTTTCCCTTTTGAGTTTTTGGCCTTTTCTCTCTCTTTCTGTCATCATTTTTGCTCTTTACACATTCTTGAAGAAAATTGATGAAAACTCACAAGAAAAATCCATTAAAATTCCATCTTTACCTGTAGATGATGCTGAGAATTACGAGAAAAATAGAACCCAGCAACAGAAACAAGAAAATGCCTATGAATCTGACAAAAATGAAGATCCCAATGACAAAAAGGGGTCGGACCAGGAGGAGAACAAAAGGAAGAAGAAACGGGTCAAGAAGAAGAGACCCGATTCAAATTGTGTAGAGGAAAAGGAAAAGGAAGATATTTTATGCTCGTACC